TGTCAGGAACTTCTGGGGGTTGGAGGGTTGGAGGGAGGAGAATGGAGCAGACTGGGAACCCCCTGTGAATCCCCTCAGACCCCCATGCCAGCCTCTGGGCCAACCCCTGATCTTGCTGGCCTGGGGCTCTGAAAGTGTGAGCCACCAGACCCCAGGCCTTTTAGCTGTCTGCATCCCAGCAGTTGGTCCCACCACCCTTTTCTTCTCATTTTAACAGAGATGGGGGGAAAGGGGTGGTGGTCTTGTTGAATAAATGATCTAAAAACAATTATTGTCCTCAAGAGACTGATAAATCTGGGGCTGATAATAGGTGAGCTCTCCCCCTGACACCCCACCCCAGCAGGGTCCTTGAATGCCAACAGCACAGCTGCTGCAGAATCCCTTCTTGTCACGCCCCCCCCCTCACAGCAGGGAGAGGCCAGGCTGGCCATCTGCCCCTCATCCCCAGACTGTGGGCCCTTTTGGCCTAGGTGGTCCAGGACCCCTGCATCCCAGAGTGGGTACCGTCGGGCAGTGGGGGCAGGGTGGGGACAGGGCACAGCTTTAGAAGTCAGGGAGCTAAGTTGAGAATTCGGCTCCGTTGCCCAGTCTCTGCACTGTGGGAATTCTACAAGTTACTGACTCCTCCTGGAAATGGGGTCATGGCTTCCGAACTAGGCAGGGTGCTTTGGGAACTTGCACAGCACAGCATAGCATGTGTGCCCAGAACTAAGCTGGGTGGAGTGGACCCTGAGGAGAGGATGCTAGGGGCTTAGTAGGTCTCTGCTGCCTCTGCAGCTGGGTCCTTGGAGGAGACAGCATTGGTGGGCTTTGAGCGAAGGCCTTCCAAACATCTGGAGAACCCAGAAGCCTCTGCTGCCCATTCACATATGCTCCGAAGAGGCCTGAGAGCCCAGCCTTCCCCAGGGTCCCTAGCCTGGACATCTGGAGAGGGTACTGGGGTGGTCTTCCTGCTTCCTACCCCACTTACCCCACTGCTTACCTCTTAGTATTCAGGACCCCTAGCCCCCAGGCCCTCCCACCCAGCCTGCCTGCCCTGGCCCTAAAGAGAGGGGCCTGTTAGATCCCTGTGCGGTTTCCTCCTATGAGTGTAAATGGGTGCCAGTGAATCGGGAGGGGTGCGTACCAAGTGTGTTCCTTACATGGGGTGGTCTCAAGAAGCCATACTTTGGGGTGGGGACTGCCTTGTTCTCTGGGATTTCTTATGCCTGAGGATGGTCCCCCCTGTGCCCCAAGCAGGGCTCTCCCAGCTGGCTCTCCCAGCTGGCTCAGGTCCCTACTTCTTCACGAGTCCCTGGCCCAAGGACCCTAGTGTGGGCACTGGGCTGTTTGTCTCATGGATTCCTGGGAAGCTACTCCCTTCCTCCATTCAAGCCAGGCCCTTAGGATTCAAAATAGACCCCACAGGACAGCAGTAAGTCTGGCTAATGATTTGTAATTTTAGTGAAGTTCTCATATTTAGTATTCATCACCTATAACAGATGGGGAAGCCTGAGGTGGCTCCCCCTCAGCCCCTCTCTGGACACCCCCACCCCCCCATCCCCAGCCTCCTGACTCAGGTGACTTTCCCTTTCCTGTTCCCAGGCCTTGAGTGGGTTGGGTTTTTAAAAAATGTTCCCTGCAGCTACAAATCAGGAAACCAGGTCATAAAACAACCTTGGATAAATGGGTGGGATGGAACCAGCGGCCAGAGCTGCTGCAGGAGAGCAGAAAACTTTGTCCTCTCTCACCCGCCTTCCATCTACCCACTGGTTACCTCCCTCTTCTCCTTCTCTCTATCTCTGTTTCTCTGTCCGTCTCCCCACCCCACTTCCTGTCTCCCACCACCAGCTCTGTCTCAGGAAACACTTCCAGCCACACTCTCCAGGCTGGACCCCAGCAGGGTCCTCTGTGGGAGCTGCCACAGCTACAGCTCTCACTATACCCCTTTACTTGACCAGGGACTGAATCTGGGGACTGGAGAGGCTATGGGCCCAGTGACCTCTCTCTCAGGCTGCCATGGTGACAGCAGGTGTCCAGTAACCACCACTGCCCATGAGTGGACCTCCCTAGGGTAGGTCTGGCTCCTTGAGTAAAAGTGGGGGCCTGACCTGGCTGTCAGGGTACTTGAGAAATGGGAGCTGCCAGCACCCCCATTGCCTCCTCACAGCACCTTCTTGTTGCCTGCCATGCTCCAAGATGCTCCCTCTAAAATGGGAATTCTTGGTGAGGGGCTGTCTGGTCGCTGCTCCTGCTGTAGGTGTCCCTATGGGAGACGCTCATACACAGTTCGCTTGCCTATCAACTTCACGTTTTTCTGTAAAAGGGCAGAACAGTCAGCATTCATTGAGCAAACCTGTGCAGAGTAGGTACTTACAGCAGAGGGTGCCTCCTTTTGCTCCATAGCACCTTTAAGGGGAGGGGGAGGGCTGGGGTCTTTGCTGGAAAGAATTGCTGATCCCAGGTTCACCAGCTGGCCTTGCATTCCAGTGGGGGCTGGGTTTTCTTCATGCCCCCATTCCACTTCCCCGCAATGCATCGCTGTGTGTTCACTGCAGAGACCCTTAGCTGTGCTAAGGGAAGTCCTGGAGCCTTGGATGCAAGAGCTGGGACCCTGAACCAGCCTGCAGTGCATGTCTCCCTCCCTGAGCCTGGCATGGGAAGACCAACTTCCAGGAATTGTCATAAGGAGTGCCAATGCATCTAGTGCTTAGAGGACACTCAAGATTTCCTTCCTCTCTCCCTCCCTCCTTCCCACTTGGGCAAGAACTTGAGATCAAGGCCTTGACCAAGTGTCAGGAGAAGAGGCAGGTGGGAAGCAGGGATGGGGAGGCTGGGCTGGACCAGAAGGAGCCCCTTGAGGATGTTAGGAGGTGCTCTCCTCTGACCCCCACCCCTTCTCACTACAGCGGAACCCACAGAGGCCAAACTCTCAGTTTACACCCCTCTGCCCCTCCTTCCCTCTCCCAAGTTCAAAGGTTACCATTTTTCTGCCAAGGGTGCCTCTTTCTGCCCCCCCACTGTTGATGCTGCCCAGCCCAGCCCCATCTGCCTGTCTCTTTCCTCCTCCTTGTCCTTTCATAGTGTTCTTGAAAAGTAATCATAATAATTAATAACAACAGAGCCCATGGCAGGCCTGAGGCAGCTCTTAAAGACGCAGAACCCCATTTTCTCCTGGCAGAGCTGGCAGGACCTTGTTGGCTCCAAGAGGTGCCTTTGATGCCATGCCTTTGTTCCTGCATCCCTCCCTTCCTCCCTCGCCTGGGGTTGGAGGGTGGTGTTGGGGTGAGCCATTTTGCCTACGTTCTCCATCAGGTGCTGGGCTTTTCGTATTCTAATTGAACTGTCTTTTCTTAGAGATAGATGCTTTCACCACATCCAGCTGCTCATGTGTATTGGGAAACCCGCCTGCAATACAGCTCGGGCTAAATTAAAAGACGCAGCAGCTGGACTGATTAAAGGGGGGGCGGACACTGGTCATAGCACTCTTTTTAAATAATGTTTCTGGGTAATGCGTTTTGGAGAATGTGAAAAAAATAAAAGCTGTGGAAATGTTAATGATATCCACAGGACACTCAGCAGGAAATGAGAGCGATCTGGGACTAATAAAAGCTGAAATGTAATTTGTGCAGATATACGAGGCTAGCGCAGCCTTCAGATCAGGCCTGGGTTTGCGCATTCCAGGCTCATAAACACAACACTGGGGGTGGAGGGGGGTGGTGCAGAGCACGGGGGTGGCCTCTGCCTGCTGTGGGTAGAATGGGGCCACCCCCCCCAGGGCAGGCCCGTATTGGTCTGGCCTGCACCCTTCTCTGTGCCTTCTCTGTGGAGGTTGGGTCAGGAGACGCAGGGCTGTCAACCTGGCTGGGGGCCCAGAGCTGTCTCCAGCTCCTCTGGGCTGGCATGTAGCAGCAGGCACCTCCTGTAATGTTTGATCCAAGCTGCCAGGGATGGGATTGAAGTGGGTCAGAAGGGCGGGTAATTTTCTCCTTGTTGGGGATACCTGAGATAAATCCAGGGAGAGGCAGGAGGGAAGGCCATGGTCGGCATGGTGCCTGCTTGCTTTGACATGCCCAGTGGGCAGGAGCTGCCTTGGGAGATGTTGGTCCCCACTGCAGCAGTGGCACCTCCATTCCTGAGTCAGGGCCAGCTGCCTGCCGAGGGCCAGGGAGGTGGGCTCCTGGGGGCTGTCTGGCTGCCCTGGGCTTGCCTTGCTCAGCTAGCTGGAGCCCGTCTATCCCCCTCCCTGGTGGGCCTTTGACACTGAGGAAGGCATCTAGGTGGGATTCTAGTGAAGAAGAGGGGTGAGCTGGACCTCTTGGGGGCAGTCCTTCCCCTCCTCCACTCCACATCATTCTGTCTCTTTCCCCTTCTCACACCTGCATGTCTCTCTTCTCTGTGCCTCTTTATTCCATCCTGGTTCCTCCTATATCCCTGGAATCTTGTAGCCAGAGGCAGACCACCCTTTCCTCTTTCACCATTGGAAATGGGAACCAGAAAATCCCCTGTGCCCTCCTGGGGGCCTGGGATGTGCAGGCTAAGCTGAGCCACATTCTTCCAACCCCAGCTGGTGTGGTTGTGGGTAAATCCTGAGCCCCCTTGGTTCCCCAGCCTGGAGCATTTCTTGCCCCTCCTCTCCGTGGAGGGTCTTCTGAGGTGACCCTGCCCCAGTCAGTTGGGGGAACCTATAGCCTGGACTTTGACAGCCTGCCTGTTTTGTAAATCCAGTTGCTATGCCCTGAAGGGCCCCACACTCCCCACCCCATGGTCATTCCCTGATCCAGGATCCTGCTTTGGGGTAGGTTAGACCCTGTCGGAGCCCCAGCCCCTAAAATCATAAACAGATGGGCTCTGAGCCTGGTGTGCCCTGGTCCTGACCTTGCGGAGGCCACAGGGGCCAGCCAGGAGGGCCTGGGCTGCTGCACACAGGAGGGGACTGCAACTCTGTGCCCCATTAGCATGCGCTCCCTCACTGTGGCCATGTAACCTGTTTACGCATCTATGTATGATATCAAAAACAGGAGGCAGGTGCCACCGTCCTGCGTTCCGGGGAGTCAGAAGGGGATGTTTTATGCCTACAGTGGTTCAGAGGCCCCTAATCAACGACGTCTGCTAGAAGGAACAGAGAGATTCCAGATGGCATGGCAGTAATAGAGGAGGTGTGTGTGCACGTATCTGCCTGCGCTGCGGGCCCTGGGAGAGGCTTCTCAGGGGCAGGGGCAAACCTTCCTCTGTCCCTTCCTTGTCCCCTACTGGGTCACTGGGTCATGCTTGAATGCTACCTAGCAGGGACTAGATTACAGGATCCAGTGGCCCCAGGGGACAGGGGAGGAGGAATTGCTCTGCTAAATGATTTTGAGCTGTCAGGGAAGGGCTGGGAGTGGTGGGATGGCGGGGAGCGGGGAGCTGACCAGGGGGAGGGTGGAGTGGCAGCTCAGGGCGACCTGGCGCTGTGCAACCGGGCTTACACCTCCTGCCCTCTCTCTCTCTCTCCGAGGCAGCCATTCTTGGCAAGGCTCAGCTGCAGGCGATGTCGGCAGGAATTACAGAGCACACCTCCCTGACACAGAAGTTGTCAATATGTGCACAGCTGGTGGGGAGGCTCAGGCAAAGGGGGACTATTAAGAGCTTCAGGGAAAGTGCAGGGCAGGGAGAGGGGTGGGAGGCAGGCTTTCTGAGGTGAAAGGAAATGGCCCATTTGAACTTCTTTCTCTCTGCCCACCTTCCATGCCTGTCTTCCCCTCCCCTCCCTGTGCTTGCTCCTTCTCCCCCTTCTGTTTTCACAGATAACCAGCCCCGAGTCATGCAGTCTTTTCGAGAAAGGTGTGGTTTCCATGGCAAACAACAGAACTACCAACAGACCTCACAGGAGCCATCTCGCCTGGAGAATTACAGGCAGCCAAGCCAGGCGGGGCTGAGCTGTGACCGGCAGAGGCTGCTGGCCAAGGACTATTATAACCCACAGCCGTACGCAGGCTACGAGGGCAGCGCCAGCACGCCTGCCAGCACTGGGCGCGGAAGCAAAGGCCTGCCCTCGCAGCAGGCCCTGCAGGGGCGGCCGGCATTCTCTGGCTACGGTGTCCAGGACAGCAGCCCTTACCCAGGCCGATACTCCGGTGAGGAGAGCCTGCAATCCTGGGGGGCCCCTCAGCCGCCACACCCCCAGCCACAGCCCCTGTCAGGGGGGGTGGGCAAATATGATGAGAACTTGATGAAAAAGACAGCAGTGCCCCCAGGAAGGCAGTACCCGGAGCAGGGTGCGCAACTGCCCTTTCGGACTCACTCCCTGCACGTCCAGCCCCAGCTGCCGCAGCCCCAGCAGCCCTTGGCCTACCCCAAGCTCCAGAGGCAGAAACTGCAGAATGATATTGCCTCGCCTCTGCCCTTTCCCCAAGGCGGCCACTTTCCCCAGCAGTCTCAGTCCTTCCCCACCTCCTCCACCTACTCCTCTACCAGCCAGGGTGGTGGGCAGGCAGCCCACTCCTATAAGAGTTGCACAGCACCGTCTGCCCAGCCCCACGACAGGCCACTGAGTGCCAGCGCCAGCCTGGCCCCGGGCCAGCGAGTCCAGAGTCTTCATGCCTATCAGTCGGGCCGCCTCAGCTATGACCAGCAGAAGCAGCAGCAGCAAGCCCTTCAGAGCCGGCACCATGCCCAGGAAACCCTCCATTACCAAAACCTCGCCAAGTACCAACACTATGGGCAGCAAGGTCCCAGCTACTGCCAGCCAGACTCAGCTGTCAGGACCCCGGAGCAGTACTACCAGACCTTCAGCCCTAGCTCCAGCCACTCGCCTGCACGCTCTGTGGGCCGCTCACCTTCCTACAGCTCTACCCCGTCACCCCTGATGCCAAACCTGGAGAGCTTTCCATACAACCAGCAGCCACTCAGCACAGGGGCTTTCCCTGCAGGCATCGCCGACCACAGCCACTTCATGCCCCTGCTCAACCCCTCCCCAACGGACGCCACCAGCTCTGTGGACACCCAGACTGGCAACTGCAAGCCGCTGCAGAAGGACAAGCTCCATGAGAACCTGCTGTCAGATCTCAGCCTGCAGAGCCTCACAGCCCTGACCTCGCAGGTGGAGAACATCTCCAACACAGTCCAGCAGCTGCTCCTCTCCAAGGCTGCCGTGCCACAGAAGAAGGGTGTCAAGAACCTGGTATCCAGGACCCCAGAGCATCACAAAAGCCAGCACTGCAGCCCCGAGGGCAGTGGCTACTCAGCCGAGCAGGCAGGCACGCCACTGTCAGAGCCACTGAGCAGCACACCGCAGTCCAGCCACGCCGAGCCGCCCGAGGCCGACTACCTGAGCGGCTCTGAGGACCCACTGGAGCGCAGCTTCCTGTATTGCAACCAGGCCCGCGGCAGCCCCGCCAGAGTCAACAGCAACTCCAAGGCCAAGCCTGAGTCTGTGTCCACCTGTTCTGTGACCTCTCCTGATGACATGTCCACCAAGTCTGATGACTCCTTCCAGAGCCTGCACAGCAGCCTGCCGCTTGACAGCTTCTCCAAGTTTGTGGCGGGCGAGCGGGACTGCCCGCGGCTGCTGCTCAGTGCCCTGGCGCAGGAGGACCTGGCCTCCGAGATCCTGGGACTGCAGGAAGCCATCGGAGAGAAGGCTGACAAGGCCTGGGCCGAGGCTCCCAGCCTGGCCAAGGATTCCAGCAAGCCGCCCTTCTCGCTGGAGAACCACAGCACCTGCCTAGACTCCGTGGCCAAGAACATGTGGCCACGGCCAGGGGAGCCAGAGGCCCTGCCCGAGGCCTTACAGCTGGACAAGGGCGGCAACACCAAGGACTTCAGCCCAGGGCTGTTTGAAGACCCTTCTGTGGGCTTCGTCACCCCTGATCCCAAGAAGACAGCTGGTCCCCTCTGCTTTGGCACCAAGCCCACCCTTGGGGCTGCCACTTCGGACCCCACTGCAGCAGCTTTTGACTGCTTCCCAGACACAACCACCGCCAGCTCAGCAGACAGTGCTAACCCCTTTGCCTGGCCTGAGGAAAACCTGGGAGATGCTTGTCCCCGGTGGGGGCTACACCCCAGCGAGCTCACCAAGGGCCTGGAGCAGAGTGGAAAGGCCTCAGACAGCATTGGGAAGGAGAGTACCAACGAGGCGCCAGCCTGTCTGGGCTTCCAGGAGGAGGAGCCCCCTGGGGAGAAGGCCACTGTGCCCCGGGACTCCAAGCAGGAGGAGGCAGACAGGGTGAAGGAGGAGGAAGGCGGGCTGCTGCAGTGCCCTGAGGTGGGCAAGGCTGACCGGTGGCTAGAGGACAGCCGGCACTGCTGCTCCGCCTCCGACTTTGGAGACCTCCCGCTACTGCCACCCACCAGCAGGAAAGGGGACCTGGAGGCTGAGGAGGAGTACTCGTCCCTGTGCGAGCTCCTGGGCAGCCCTGAGCAGAGGCCTGGCATGCAGGACCCGCTGTCACCGAAGGCCCCTCTGATGTGCACCAAGGAGGAGGTGGAGGAGGTGCTGGACCCCAAGGCCGGCTGGGGCTCCCCATGCCACCTCTCTGGGGAGTCTGTCATCTTTCTGGGCCCCACCGTGGGCGCTGAGTCGAAGGTCCAGAGCTGGTTTGAGTCTTCCCTGTCCCACATGAAGCCCGGGGAAGAAGGCCCTGATGGGGCACTGGCTCCGGGGGACCCCACCACCCTGACCCCAGATGCCTCCTTGGCCCAGAAGCCCAAGAAGCCTGCTGTGCCCGAGGCACCCATTGCTAAGAAAGAGCCTGTGCCACGTGGGAAAAGTTTACGAAGCCGGCGGGTGCACCGGGGGCTTCCTGAGGCCGAGGACTCCCCTTGCAGGGCACCGGCTCTGCCCAAAGACCTCTTGCTCCCTGAATCCTGCACAGGGCCCCCCCAGGGACAGATGGAAGGGGCAGGGGCCCCAGGCCGGGGGGCCTCGGAAGGGCTCCCCAGGATGTGCACTCGCTCCTTCACCGCTTTGAGCGAGCCCCGCACACCTGGACCCCCAGGACTGACTACCACTCCTGCACCCCCCGACAAACTGGGGGGCAAGCAGCGAGCCGCCTTCAAGTCAGGCAAGCGGGTGGGGAAGCCCTCCCCCAAAGCGGCATCTAGCCCCAGTAACCCAGCCGCCCTGCCCGTGGCCTCTGACAGCAGCCCCGTTGGCTCCAAGACGAAGGAGACAGACTCGCCTGGCACCCCGGGCAGAGACCAGCGCTCTATGATCCTTCGGTCCCGCACCAAACCCCAGGAGGTCTTCCACTGCAAGCGGCGGCGGCCCTCAGAAAGCCGAGTCCCCAACTGCCGCACTGCCAAGAAGCTCCTTGCCAACAACCATCTGCCCACCACGTTCAAGGTCTCCTGCAGCCCCCAGAAGGAGGGCAGGGCCAGTCAGCGGGCAAGGGTCCCCAAGCCCGGTGCAGGCAGCAAGCTCTCTGATCGGCCCCTGCACACACTCAAAAGGAAGTCGGCCTTCATGGCACCAGTCCCCACCAAGAAGCGGAATTTGGTTTTACGGAGCAGCAGTGCCAGCGGCAGTGGGGGGCACATGAAGGAGGAGAGGCCCGAGGGCTCCCCCACCCTCTTCAAGAGGATGTCCTCTCCCAAGAAAGCCAAGCCCAGCAAGGGCAATAGTGAGCCCACCGAGAAGCCCCTGACCCCAGAGACTCCTGACCCCTGCCTCAAGCTGGCCTCGAGGGCGGCCTTCCAGGGGGCCATGAAGACCAAGGTGCTACCACCCCGGAAAGGCCGAGGTCTGAAGCTGGAGGCCATTGTGCAGAAGATCACCTCGCCCAGCCTGAAGAAGTTCGCTTGTAAGGCACCAGGGACCCCTCCTGGAAACCCCCTTAGCCCGTCCCTCTCTGAGAAGGACCGTGGGCTTAAGAGTGCTGGGGGCAGCCCGATGGGGGCCGAAGAAGGTCCCTTAAACATGGGCACTGGGCAGAAGCTCCCAGCAGCTTCGGGGTCCGACCCGTTGTGCAGAAATACGGCCAACAGATCCTTAAAAGGCAAACTCGTGAATAGTAAGAAACTGCCCTTGACTGACTGTTTCAAAACTGAGGCCTTCATGTCCCCAGAGGTCCTGCCGCCTGGGGGGACCGCTCTGGCACTGAAGAAGAGAAGCCGGAAAGGCAGGGCTGGAGCCCTGGGACTCCCCAAAGGCCCCCTGGAGAAGCGGCCCCATCTAGGCCATGCTCTGCTCCTGACTCCCCAAGACAGGGCAAATGGCACGCAAGGCGGCAGTGAGGACAGCTCTGGTGGAGGAGGCAAGAAGCCAAAGATGGAGGAGCTGGGCCTGGCCTCCCAGCCCCCCGAGGGCCAGCCTTGCCAGCCCCAGATGAGGGCGCAGAAGCAGCCAGGCCACACCAACTACAGCAGCTATTCCAAGCGAAAGCGCCTCACTCGGGGCCGGGCCAAGAACACCACCTCCTCACCCTGTAAGGGCCGTGCCAAGCGGCGGCGACAGCAGCAGCTGCTGCCCCTGGATCCCGCAGAACCTGAAATCCGCCTCAAGTACATTTCCTCGTGCAAGCGGCTGCGGGCAGACAGCCGTTCCCCAGCCTTCTCGCCCTTCGTGCGGGTTGAGAAGCGAGACGCGTTCACCACTGTCTGCACTGTTGTCAACTCTCCTGGGGAGGAACCCAAGCCCCACCGGAAACCTTCGTCCTCTGCCTCCTCTTCCTCATCCTCGTCCTCCTTGGATGCGGCCGGGCCCCCCCTGGCCACTCTCTCTGGAGGCTCTGTCCTGCAGCCGCGCCCCTCCCTGCCCCTCTCCACCACCATGCACCTGGGGCCCGTGGTTTCCAAGGCCCTAAGTACCTCTTGCCTTGTTTGCTGCCTCTGCCAAAACCCAGCCAACTTCAAGGACCTCGGGGACCTCTGTGGGCCCTACTACCCCGAACACTGCCTCCCCAAAAAGAAGCCAAAACTCAAGGAGAAGGTGCGGCCAGAGGGCGCCTGCGAAGAGGCCTCCCTGCCCCTGGAGAGAACATTCAAAGGCCTTGAGTGCACAGCTGCCGTTGCTGTCGGAAAACTCCCCAAGCCTGACGGCCCAGCTGACCCGGCCAAGCAGGGTTCACTGCGCACCAGTGCCCGGGGCCTGTCACGGCGGCTGCAGAGTTGCTACTGCTGTGACGGCCAGGGGGACGGTGGTGAGGAGGTAGCCCCAGCCGACAAGAGCCGCAAGCACGAGTGCAACAAGGAGGCACCGGCAGAGCCTGGTGGGGACACCCAGGAGCACTGGGTGCACGAGGCCTGTGCTGTGTGGACGGGCGGGGTCTACCTGGTGGCCGGGAAGCTCTTTGGGCTACAGGAGGCCATGAAGATGGCTGTGGACATGGTAAGAGGCCCGCCCAGCTGGGGTGGGAAGCTCAGGTTTCACAGGCCAGGCAGGCAGGCAATCGGGGAGCCCCCTCATCTCTCCAGCACTATGGTTTGAGCTAAACATACCCACAGTGACATTAATATCTGGGGAGTTTGGGTGGAGTTGAGGCACACCCCAGGCTGAACAGGACACATTCACTCAGCCCTGTCCCAGACTTCCCACTGTGGCCCCTGGCCGTGCCCACCATACTCAACCTGACATCTTCCAGCTCCAGGGTTCACCTAACCCCACCTGCTCGTGTAATCAGCAGAGATGCTGATCCCGAGACCCCAGAAGACAAGGGGCCTCCCAGAATCGAATGTCAGAGTGACCCGCAAAAGCAGGCTGCCCTAGCCCAGGTACCTTTGGGTTGGAACTGGGGACTGACGGGACAAGCCCCTCAAACAGTACAAGGATGGAACATGTCCCATCTGCAGGACATCCTCGTTGGGCAAGGTGGTCCAGGAACCTCTCACAAATGGTCCTACAGTGTCCCTTCAGGGGCTCCTGTCACTGAAGTCTGTGAGCAGGAACTTGGGCTGGTTTTTTGATTCACCTCCCAGCACTGGCCCCTCGCTCACTGTGTGACTCTGGGCATGGCACTTAACCTCTCTGTGCCTCCGTTTCCTCATCTCTGAAGTAAACATATTAGTTCACAGCACAGAGGGGCTGTGAGGATTAAATGAGCCATTGCCCATGAAAGTTATTTAAGCCATGCCTGGCCCACCTGAGTGCTGTTGACATTCCCGGGCCAGAACGAGTGACAGCGGCAGAGGCCACGATACCATCCAGTGTTACTACCACTTGGGTTACCATGGGGCTCACACTCCCTTCTGAGGGGTGCAGAGAGTATGAGAGTAAGCAAGCAGCCAGGAGGTCATTTGGAGCCCCAAATGGCAGTAGTCAGCAGAAGATGCCTGGGACATGGCAGTAGGGGTCAGCGCTCTCCCCTGAGGCTTGTGCTCTGGACTTCCCCCTACACCCCCC